AAAAAAAACGTTTCGCTCAAAACTTTCGGTCAAAACTTTGGCACCCAAACCCTTAACAATTTCTATAAACCCCTAAACCCCTAAACCCCTAAACCCTAAACCCTACCAGCACCCCCCAACGTACCGTTAATGACGGCCTTGACCAAAGGGAGGCTAATAACATACACTTGTTGATTTCTCCATTAAGAGGGACTTGTTCCTCTTGGTTTGCGAGATTTTGCCCTAAGATAGCACCGGATGATTTCGGCGTCGCCGATTGATTTGGATAAGATGTAGTGTGGCCGGCTAGGGTTTAGGGGGATCTCACAATCTGCTCTTCGAAGACGACATTGTGCTCTCCCTCTTTTGCAGCGAGGCACGCCCGGCATGTTTATGCCCATTCTCGTGACTCCAAACGACGCAACCATCTGCAGCACACAAAGGCAGCATATCTAAGCAAGACCTGTCTCCCCAGCTGTTGGGGGTGACTTTTCACCGCCATCCGCTTGACTTTTCCGACCTGGGTTTGGGTTTGCGATGCTCATGATACTCCCCAGACTCCCTGTAATGCTCTATGATTGCAAGTTAGCGGCAGCATCTTCATCCATGTAGCAGCTGAGGACGAGCGGATTTGTTCTTTCCGCTTGATCGTAGCATATATGGTCGAGCCTGCATGTACGAAGAAAAACGGTGAACCAGCAAAAGTGATGTGCTGAAATCTGCATGACAGCGCGTGAGTTGTTAACATCGCTGAGGCACTTGTGGAATTTAGGACGTATCTTCCACAACAAGCGTCCATGATCTATGGCTTCTTTGGCCAGACCTGATTCAAACGAGGATGTGTGCGCGGAGGGCTCGGTGGAAAGCATACAAGAAACATGCACAAGACACAGCTCCTGTCTGCAACCTAGAAGCCGTTGAGTGCACTGTGATACAAATAGTTTGCTTGCTGCAATTTTCGAAGATTCTCTGGGGTCAGAGTGCAGTGGCTGTTGTCGTTCTTCAAAGAGATCGCATTCCGCATCCGAACCAGGTTTATGAAGACTGCTGCCCGCAGCCTTGTATGAATCAGCCACGAAAAGCTGCAAAACGCCGGTGTGTCACTCTCAGTTAAGCCAAGCTTCTCATGATGTACGCTTCCAGGATTGCGGGCGGCATCTGCAATCGTCAGTCCCATCAGCCATTTGGCCATAACCACAGCTTCCTTGGCCCCAAAGAGAGTAATGGGTACTCAGTGCCATCATTTCCCACCGAAAGACAAAAACAAGGAAATGTTTTGCCGAATCGCAGCTCCATTCATGTGTTTCTGGGCAATCGATGGGATCTGGACATTGTGCTTCTTTGTTTCACCGGTCAGCTGTTTCCTTGTAGACTGGAGGTTCGAAGCAAGCAAGCAAGCAAGCAAGCAAGCAAGCAAGCAAGATGAGAAGCAAGCAAAGCAAGCACATAATGTTCAGCTGAGAGACAGTGTGAACACTTTCGCTCGGCTTCCTTCAATATTAGTTCAGTGTGACGATTGGAACAGATGAATCTCATCATCGTGCATGCAAGCAGCTAATCTTGTGCTTGCGGCACTCGGCGATGAAGTCGACATAGGCAGCTCGAAGCCGCTCGTTTTGATCGGAACCAGCGAAAATCCCTCCCTGCTCCAGAGGGACTTCTGTAAGCTCTATAAGACAAGAGGCAGCGCTGTCGGGAATGAGTGCCAAATCCACCACGTGAAGCCAATCAAAAACCACCATCGATGGATGGAAGCCAGGCAGCTGGATCCATGGATTCGCTTTGCATCCATATTGAATGAACTCAGCAGTGTTCATCATCCTTAGTTGTGGCTACACTGTTTGTATCGTAAGAACCCTACATTGAAACATTCATCAGTTATGCAGGAACAGCCACGAATCGTTTGCCTGTGTGGAGCATTGGGGCCATGGAATGTGTAGAGGTTGTTGTCCGAAGCAGTGTTGGAGGCCTCAATAGAGTTTCTGCGTCTGAGCAGCACATGAAGCCCCGTGGATCCCGGCCTGACATAGAAAACATACTTTTGATGACCAGGCATTGATCATGTGGAAGGCCTTTAAAGATGCATGGCGGGAGCATCCAGCTTGAGTGTGCCTCGTAAGTACAAGCCCGGCCTTTTGAACATACTTCTCATCTCCTTTGTGGAATGTGAGAATTCCCCGCCATCCATCCGCGATTGGGCCTTTTCTGCCACCTAGGACCACAATCCCTTCAAGCTTCACTTTGTTCTCTCTCTCTCTCTCTCTCTTTTTCTTTCTCCCTCTCTCTTCTTTGAAACCAGGAATCGCTCGAAAGGCCTTCCCCAAGGATCCACATCTAGCCAATGACCCAGCATCAGCTCCAGCATGGACCAAGCAGTCCACATATCTAGCGCTGTGTAGCATTCATCATCGAACTGGGAGTTGTCCCCGACATAAACCAGAAACTTGCTATCCCACGGCGTAGCATGCACACAGGCAGACCCCCATGTCAAGACCAGAAATGATCGTCGACGATGACATTCTGCATCATCTCCATGCAACACTAGAGGCACTGTAGTCTCCAGGTTGAGGTCCTGAGTGTGTGCACAATAACAAAAAAAGCAGGAACAAACATGACTTGTTGAGCCTGGGGACCGCCAGGTATGGGTGCGCTTGGAACCATGCGGCCGATCGGTTCTTGTCCCAGAAGTCTGCCAAAGCCTGATAGCACCATTTCTCGTAGCAGCGGTCTTGCAGTGCGGCGCGACACTATGCAAGCTGAGAGGCGCCAGGCTCCCCAATAACCAGCGTGTTGAACAACGACTTGTCATATGAATACATATGAGCAAACCTGAGCAACATAGTACTCGCAGCCCAAAAAGCAAACACAGTAACAGACAAGGAGCGCTTCACTAGGAAGGAACATGTGCCACTTGCCCACATAGTGCGGCTCGATGTTTTTCAAATTGAACTCAGCTAGCGCACAATAAGCTTCACAATGAGTTTGTACGCTGAACCGTTTGAGCCAAGGACCATAACCACATCCACCCTGCAGTACCGGTGCGTGCAGAGACACATAAGCGAACACCACATTCAACGAACTGCATCTTTAGGTCATGCTGGGCGGCTCCCACGGCGGCGGGAGCATTTTCCTCCAGGCTTGTCGTTCAAGCCATCGCCAGAAAGTCCGGGCCACATGCTTGCTGTTTCCATCCAGCAGGTCAACAAGCTCGCAAAGGTTTTGCCTAGGATTGTTTGTCAGGGGGAGATCATTACATATACGTTTGGAGATCTGCGCAAGACACATAATGCAGCAGGGTTCGGCAAGAATCGCCTTGGAACTCTTCGATGAATGACTTCCAGCATCGCCACAATCGTCTGCACACTGACCTTAGTGAGTATCGAGCATGCACGCCACATTGCCCGACATCGACACAGTTTATGTGTCCCAAACCTCCTGTGCAACTGAATGGCATCCTTGCCCAGCTCCAGAAATTCTTCCACGATATCCATAATAGATGACGTAAGTATTCATCTTGCAGAATGACATGGGCCGTCGGGCGGCAGCACTGGGCAACATCGGCTTAAGGGAGTGTAGTGTCTTATTGGTATCTATCTAACGACCAGCTATGTAGCACTGTCCAGGCTAATCGGGATCCCACGATCTAATGCTTCGTAGTCATTTATCATCCGTCTAAGTACAATAATTGGGGAATGTGGGTCTGAAGGGTTTGGGGTTTGGTTGCATTGTAACATAACACAACCCTCTTCTTTAAAGATTTAGGGGGGTCTGGAGGGTTTGGGGTTTGGTTGTATTGTAACATAACACAACTTTCTTCTTTAAAGATTCAGGGGGGTCTGCAGGGTTTGGGGTTTGGTTGTATTGTAACATAACACAACTTTCTTCTTTAAAGATTTAGGGGGGTCTGCAGGGTTTGGGGTTTGGTTGTATTGTAACATGACACAACTTTCTTCTTTAAAGATTTAGGGGGGTCTGCATGCAGGGTTTGGGGTTTGGTTGTTTTGTAACACGACACAAACATCTTCGGCGGGTTTTTCGAACAAGCTGGGACATTGAATTGCCACAGGATGTGCGCACAGCTTCGTGGTGCCGATGAAGCCCGGTCCCTATCTCGTCCCAGCTCGAAGACATGTTTCTGGCATCGCATGGACAAATCCACAGACGCTCGAAGCCCGAGTGTCACAGAGTCATAATTAGCATGGCAATGATTTCACTGCCATAGCCCTGCCAAGCCAGCCTACCGTAGGTTTCAGACCAGCTGGACCTAGATGCTACATAGATGCTACACAGTCATGACACAGGCTGCTGCACGAGCTAATTCCATGTTTGCTGTTTCGGTGCGTCTGAACCATGACAGGCTGCTTCGCTTGGGACCCGTCCACAAAGCCTGAGACTTTGTCTAAACCAAGAACTGTGAGGTAGCATTACACACCATTGGCAGCAGCAGGGAACAACATTGGACTGAGGTACTTGTATTCTGGGCCTACAACAACAAGTGTTCCCCAGCAAAGCCTTCTAAGGTGCATGTAGCTGCTACAGCAGTAGAGACATGTAGGAAAGGATGGCTTAGCCACTCTCCTCATCATCCTCGTCATCTTCATGGTCGTCCTCGGAAGCTCCCTGCGGGTCCTCATTTCCCGCCTGCGCACTTGATTTCATTTTGTTCTTCTCGGTGTTCTTGTGGTTCTGGATCCTTTTGCTTGCGTCCTTGATATCGTGATCGGCCAAGTCAATCACAGGCTGCAGGTTCACCTCCATGTACTGGTTCCACCCCTCAACGTCGGGGCACGTCTTCTGGCCTTCCAACATGCCTTTGGAGAGGGCTAGGGCATTCTCCACTTTGGATTCGATCTCCTCGAGGGCAGAAACCTCATGTAGATTGAGAAAGAGAACATTTGTAAAAGAATAGGCGTATTAGTCCCCTTTGTGCTCAGGCCGAGACCAGCTCCGAGCAGTTCCGAATCTTGAGGCCACGGATTTCGGCAAGTTTCGTTGGGATCGTCTTGCTCTGGTTCTCAAGCCTTAGCTAAAGCACTTCAAGAGCCGATAATCGGGCCTTTAAGGCACGAAAGTCAAGGATGGTTCTAGCTGGGAGTATATTAGGGCTTTTAAGGTTTAGCAAGTTTCGGGGTTTGCGTACCACACTATGAAGCACTTGACAAAGCCTCTGCACAACCCCTATTGAAACCCTGGATTGTCCAAGAGTCTTCTGGCTGGCCCCCTTCATGTCCTTGTATGCTTGCTGCTCGGGAGTGAGCGCTTTCTTCGCCTTCCTGAAGAACTCACAGAGGATATGTGTTTAATTGATTTACAGGATTGAAGCAAGTGTAGGCAGTGTGGTGCATACGAGTCTCTTTCCCGAGATTCGGCCTGTCTTCACATCCAGGAAGCCAATCGAATCCAAATTCGCAGCGAACTCACCCAGCTGCTTTGCGAGCAGCTTCTTCGCGCTTGCTTCATTCACTCGCCCTCCGAGCTTCATCTTGGCAGGCAAGTGTATATCTCTCAGGACTACGAAGATCTTCAGAAATACAACTAGAACCCCCGCAATTTGAGCCTAGCATCCTGCGACTTGCCCTCAGAGCCACTCTGCTTCTCTTCCACCACTTCTTTCAGAACCTTGTACATTCTTCCCTTCACGCTGTCAGGTGCCTGCCAGTACACGTGGCCGGGCACACAAACTTTAAGGGATCAACGGAGGGGGTTTCGAAAGGTTTGTAAGTTCGGATTCGTTCACTGCACTAGCACTTGGGATCTGTAAGTTAGAAGTCTTAAGGGGTTGAGTGGTACAGGTGGCTAAGAATTTCATATCAACACAAGTACCATCGCTACCGAAAGCCTTCTGGGTCTTTGAGGTGCAGAAGAATTTCGAAGAAGCTATCATTTAGGTTGTGTTTGGCATTCGGGTTTGTGGAGAATTTCATTATCAGCTGTTGGGTTGCAATCAGGAATGCAACAATTCAGGGCTCCTAGCTAGTATAGTGGTTTAAACATAAGGTTTTCGGATGCTACGAACCACACCCCCGCCCCCCACAAAAAAAAAAAAACAAGAAGGCTCTAGCTATATGTATCCCCAATCGATCCAAACCGAAGCTCGCCATGAGGAAACCTGTATAATAAAAGTATTTAGGCTAATTCAGAGACATCATCAGCAGCCCACCTGCGGGTGCGGCGTTCCAGCTTGTCCTGGACAAGACAAACATGTGTGTAGTTTACATAGCATTTAGCAAGGCTCAATGATCGCGCACTGCTAGGCCTGAAATCAGTGCTTTGATAAACTGCTGGGCTTCTGGGGATGTGCCGTAGATTTTCTCCAATTGGAACAGCGTGACCTGCAGCTGCCCGAGGACACTATAGTACTTGTTGAAACCAAGCAGCTCAATAGCAATTAAGAAACGTAAGAGCCCGACCGTCACGTATTTGTCCGTCCTCAACTCTTTGATCCAACTATGGTAGCATTCCTCCACCTCAATGCTAGCCACGGATTGCTGCACGATGAATGTCTTCAGCATCCCAAACCTCCAGGGGTTTCAAAAACAGGGCTGATCGACTGCAGTACTTGGAGCCACAACCTGCCTGTCACCGTCGCTGCACAAGCACATCTTTGCTGTTAGGGCTGGGTTTGCATTTCTTTGGATGGCACGTCGTAGGGCTGCATACTGCCGCTTCCTCTCTGGTCGGGGCATCTCCTGGGAATAGAAGAGCAAGCTAGGTTTTAGACTCACAAACTCCACAAAGAAAGTCCTTGGCACTTGTCATCTTATTGATCCGCTCTTTCTCTTCCTCAGTGAGGTCCGTGACTCTGCGCGTCCCCTGGGCGGTGACCGTGGCCTGTGCGGCTGGGAGCTTACATTGGGTCGAACTTATCTAATCTAAAATATTCTAGAGGGTCTGCCTTCGGGGGCTCGAAGAGCTGATTCTTTGATCCCGTAGTGCTCTCAGGACTTGAGTCCGCATTGAAGGAAAAGCTTGGCATTGTGTCATAGCGGGCCAGCTTTGATGGAGGTTCAGGGCTGCTTTCAAACTCGGTTTCCAGCTTTCGACGGAGCCCCGACATTCCTGACTCAGCCTCACTTGTTGCTGCTGTAGACACCGAGCTTGCGGGTGTACGGGTAGTGCTGGTTGGCGGCGAAGGCGTAACGGTAGCCTCCTGCATGGGTGCATCGAATCTACCACAACACACGCACACACACACACACGGAGAGAGAGAGAGAGAGAGAGATATTTAAACACATGATTTCGGCCTCCTTCGCTGACTTCTGCTTCTTTTCTTTCTTGTCCTTCTTAGCCTTCTTGTTCTTTTTGCTAGGAGAATGCTTGTGTCCTGCTGCAGCTGCCCTGCTTGGATCCTTGCTTTTGCTGCGTATGCGGTTTGGCACAATGGATGTGGTCTTGCTGTCATCTGGGGCTTGATTGTCCTTCTTGCCTGGCTCTCGCCCCCTGTTTGCCTCACCATTCTCCTGGCTCTTGTCCTTCTTCTCCTTCTGCTGGTCCTGCGTTGCTCCACCATTCTCCTTGCTCTTGTCCTTCTTCTCCTTCTGCGACACTTTGGTTGCCTCCCCATCCTCCTGGCTCTTTTGCTTCTTCTCCT